GGAGCAGGACTGACCCTCTGATTTCTTTGCCTTTTCCTTTTCAGACTACCTTGGAAAATCCCCAATTTCCTCCCTTATTTTATCAAACAAACCCAGCTCCCACCAGCTGCCCCGACCCTTTCCAGCAGCATCCTGTGTTCCCTGGGACAAGTCGCTGTCACCTGCAGCACCATCACCCTCCTCCTCCCTCCCTAGTCCCCAGAGCCCCCAGCACCCCAGCACTGGGCTTTCCCCAGTGCTTCAGAGTAAGAATGCCCAGGATTTAAAAGCCACCCAGGAGGTGGGACCCTGGTGCTTCCAGACATGCCACAAATTGTCCAAGCTCAGCTGAGGGCTCATGCAGCCTGTGAGACAAAAAGAAGGGAGAAGTCCTTGGAAGTGAGCAGGAAAAGGGGCATCAAGTACCTGGGAGCCCTAACCAGGTGCATTCCAATGGAAAAATCACCATAGGCTCTGCATCCTGCAGGAGATTGACCCTGAAACACCTTCCCAAGGACCAAATATCCTGGAGATGGCATTTTAACACAGGAAAAGTCACTGGGTCATCACAGGAGGTCCTAGGAAAATCCCAGGCTACACCTGAGAGTTCTGTGGCTCGATCCTTTCCAGGCCATTTTGTAGTTTGGACGCAGCTGTCTGTGTTGAGAATGCCACGGAGGGTCAATCCATAGCAGTATTCCATCAAAGTTCTGGAGGGATGTAGGACTGGAACCCCGATTGTTGCTGTTCTTCCATCCGTGCTGTTTGAGTGAACACCCTGATTTATTTCAGGCTTAGAGATCCTGTCACTGTGTTCTCAAAAAGATTTGTGTTGGCCACAGGTCATTCCTGTTTGTATCAGGGAGAGCAGAAAAAGTTGCTTGTCAGAAGGACATTGTCAGCGTAGCTCAGCTCCCATTCCTTGTGGAAATATTACTGAATAAAAAGCTGCCAAGGTCAAGTGCAACAGGAACACAGGCTGATATTAAAAATAATGCTCCTGCTTATTGGCATTGTGGGACAGCTACCACCTGTGATGCTGTATGGAACTGTCCTCAGAGTGCAGGGAAAATAATTCAGCAAAAGCAGCGCAGTGCTGTGTCAGGGCAGGTCAGGCTGGATATCAGGAAAGGTTCTTCTCCCAGAGGGAAGGCACTGCCCAGGCTCCCCAGGGAATGGGCACAGCCCCGAGGCTGCCAGAGCTCCAGGAGTGTTTGGACAATGCCCTCAGGCACCAGGTGGGATTGTTGGGGTGTCTGTGCAGGGCTGGGGCTGGACTGGATGCTCCCTGAGAGTGCCTCCCAACTCAGGGGTTCCTGTGATTCTGTGATCTGTGGTTGCCCATGTGCCAACAGCAATGCCAGCCCAGCTGGAAGCCTGTAAGCTGAGATGTCTCCTGGCCAGAAAACAGCCTTGGAGCACTTGCCCTGCACTGTATTTGCAGAGGGGCTGCAGCCCAGCATGAACCTTCCCTGCCCACCCAGCACTGTGCAAGCCCATCTGCCCATCACCACGCCCATGAAATCCCAAAGGTGGATTGAAATATTTGGGGTTAAAACCATGAGATGCAAGGAAAAGTGGCCAGATTGTCTTTGTTTTCCAGTGCCTGGGAGCTTTGGAATCTCCACTGCAACTACCATGGAAAAATTGGGCCCAAATCTTTTTCCATTCAAAAATGGGCCATTTTGGGGTGTGTGACTTTGACATGGGGGTCTCTGCACCCCAGCAATTGGAACATGGAGGGCTTTGGGCGGATAAGGGATGTACCTTACTAAGAAAATGTGATATTGGTGTACCATGAGGACTGACATCTCTTTTCCTTGCCCAGTCTAGGTCTGCTTTGCTCCTGGTCATGGCTCAAAGTGTCCCAGCTGAGCCCCCAGCAGATCCCTCTGCACCCAGAGGGAAGAGGAGCTGGCAGAGGATGTTCCATGGCTCCCTGTTTTGGGGTGCTAGAAGGGACCATGGAGCACAGAACTGGGCAGAGAGCTAAGCATCAGTGGCAGGAACAGTGCAAACAAGAGTGTGCTGAACCCACACATCCTCAGCCTGAGCACAAACATCCTGGGAGCCAGAAAACCAGGGGGAAAAGTCTCTCCATTGAAGGTCCGTCCCCTCTCCCGGAGAGATTTCTTTGCTCTAATGCCGCCATCCAGTGGGAAAAACTCCCTGACATGGGAAAGGCTGGAAAAGAGGGCGTTGGGTCCCCACCATCCTCGGGCTGCCCTCGGTGGCCTCCCTGTCAGGGATGCTGCGGCTGCATCCCACCCTCCGTCTCTAAGCCCCGATCCCAGCCTGGGTGCAAAATGGAAACAGCTCACGGGGCACTCGAGCTCCTCCGGCAGCCAGCGAGGGGATGGGGAAGGAGGGAAGATGCACCGGCTCAGGCGAGGGCTGCAAGCCCAGAGAAGGAGGAGGAAGCTGAGGTGCAAGCAGGGTCCCAGCGATGAGGCCACCCCGGTCCCAGGGCGGCGCGGGGCACACTCCCAGCGCTCCCCTCCCGCTCCCGCGGGATATTTGCAGTCTGAGCGCACCGTGCCTGCAGAAAGCCGAATTCCAGCGTGTTTTCAGCAGCACCAGGACTTCAAGGAAGGAAAAGCAGCCAAACACAAAACTCCTCGGGGTTGGTCAGGGAAGCGAAATGACTTTGGCAGGGGCCACAGAGCAGCGCGACGGCGAGCGGGGGAAGAGCGGTGTCCAGCGGCCCCAGGACCCCACAATGCGCCCGATTGTTGTCCCTATGGGCGGCCGGATTCCCGCAGAAAGGAGCTTTCAGTGGGAAAATTCAATAGTCCAACCTCTCTCAGCAACGCAAGGTTTGCCGGATTGTGCAATGGCACAAAGGGACAGTGTTTCCTCAGGAGCGGGAGGGTCTGTGGCTGGAACAAGGCTTTTACTCCCGCACAGAAGCCGCCTGAGCGGAATCACGGCGTTATCGAGGCGGGATCGCAGTCAGAGACTTGCCTCAAAGGGAGAAAGCAGGAAAAAAAAATCTGTTTATGGGTATAAAATCAAAGAATTTCGGGGGTTTTCTTCTGGCTGAAAGCAGCAGCTGTTTTTCTAAGGTGGCGCCAGTTTCCAGGAAGCAGGCGTATTCCTCCAAAATCGAGGGGAAACCCCCTAACTTTTTCTTTTCCCTTTGTGCCAAGAGGAAATTTGTCCTGGGAACAGCCCCTCTGCACAAACAAACAAACACACTGTCCTCTCCTCCGAGAAGCACAAATGCTTTCCCACCCACTCAAGATTAGACAGAAAAATTACTCCTGGACCAGCAATTCCCTGATATGCCTGATGAGGAGGCAGCACCACCTCTGCAAGCTGACAAAGGCCATTCCTGGCAGCTGCAAACCCCTCCTCAAGCTCCAGCCCACACTCGGGAAAGGGAGAGGAATGGGAGATATTGCAAAATAAAAGAGAAGAGGACATTTGGTGTAGGGAATCGGCTCTACAGCTGCAAACGGCCTCACGCTGGCACTGGGGCTGAGAACTGTGCACAGCTCATCACACCTGGAGTCTGATAACTGGTAGCTGTGCCCAAGGTCCCTCTGTATGTTTAATTAGGATCATAAAAGATATTCCTTACTTCAACTTTCTGATCAGAAAATTGTTTTGTTTGGAATGGATCTTAGTTACTGCATAAGCACTACCCAAAAACAGCAGAGGAAATACTGGTGGACAGGCTGAGAATGGAAAAGGGGGATTTTTCTTTTAAAGATATCATTGTTTTTTAAGGGACTTTCCCTGTTGGTGTGTGCAGAGCAGTGAAACCACCTGGCAAAGTCGAGCAGCTCCACAGTGTCCCAGCATGCCCAAGACAGGGAAATCCCCGGATCGCAGCAGCAGGACACTGCTCTTCCTTCCTGCAACGAAGGCGGATGGCAACCGGCCTCCAGCCCCAGACCTGGATGAAGCACCTCTCACCCTCTACCTCTGGGAAGGAGGATAAATCTCTGACCGGTGAAGAAACGCCAGCCCGAGGTAAAGCACACCCCAGCCGGCGTGCCTGAGTGGTCAGGACGAGCTCGCAGCCCACGGCAGGGGAATAAAGCACGGTGGAGTCACTGGAGCGGGTGATGGGCTGACTGCACCACGGCACAGAGAGAGAGACACCAAAGCATCTGTACCCTGGGGGGACGGGTCAGCGCCGGCTGAGACCCCACAGAGGCTGCGCAGGGCACTGGTCCTGGCACTGGTGGGGTCCCGGGGAAAAAATGACTTGGCGGAGGCTGGGAGGCTGAAGCAAGGTTTGGGCAACGTTGTAGCACTGGGGAATGACTGTCCCCTGTGATGCAGGGCAAACCTTGTTCCAAGTGTCCATGCCTCGATTCCCACCCACCCTGTGCCCAGTCACGCCCTGTGCCCCAGCCTAGGCCGGATCCCCACTAGGATGCCCAGCCCCGTTTGAGGGGATGCTCAGCTCCCTCTGTGTCGGGTGCTCCAGGTGTCCCCATGCCCATTCTCCTGGATGTCCCATGTCTGGCTCCTGCTGGCATCCTTATAACTCGGGGTGTTCCCAGCTCCCCCATTCCCGCTGCCTCCACGACCATCGTGCCCGCTCAGACTCAGATCCCAGTGCTCCCGGTACCCCCGTGCCCGGTGCTCCTGCTCTTCTGCAACCAGGTCTTCCTGCCTCCCCCTACTCCCAGGACCCCCGCATCCAGGTTCCACCCAGGACCTCCGTGCCAGGTGCTCCCGACTCCTCCCCAGTGCTCCCAAGGACTCCCATTCCCAGTTCTTCCCTTACCCCCATATCCTGTACTCCTGGATCGCCCATCCCCAGTTCCTCCCTTACCCCCATGTCCTGTACTCCCGGATGCCTCATCCCCAGTTCCTCCTGGCATCCCCGGCTCCCTGCTCCCCTCATTCCCGATGCTCCCGGGCCCCCCATGCCCATTTCTCCCGGTTTCCTGGGCTACCCCGTGCCCCAGTGCCCCTCTCCCCGGACGAGTCCCCCGTGCCCGGCCGGTGCCAGGTGTTGCCCGGTTCCCCGCTCCTCCTCCTCTCCGCCCCGTGCCGTCCCTCCTCCCCCGGGAAAGCGAAAGCGCGGCGGGCGGAAGCCGAGCCCTCCCCGCCGGGCCGGGGCCGCACCGGGACCGCGCCGGGGCCACCATGGCTTCCATCGGCAACTTCTTGCGACGGAGCCTGCGGCGCGCCGGCCGCCGAGGTGAGGGGCGGGAGGGGCTGCGGGAGGTGCCGGTGCCGGTGTCAGTTTCGGTGTTTGGACAGGTCCATCCCCGGTGCCGCGGCTGCGGGAGCCGAGGGCTGCCGGCGGAGCGGGGACGTTCCCGGGCAGCGCAGCGCGACTGCGCCCGGTGCAACCGGCGGCAGCGGCTCGGTCCCTCCAGCCCTGCCCGTTCGCACCCCACCCCAGGGAGCCCAGCCCGGGCCGGCTGCCCCGGGACTCACCACATCTCTTGCTCCCTTCTCGGGTGTTCGGCCCATCCCGAGAGCTGCACTCCCTCTCCCGGGAGCCCACCCCTTCCCAACTGAGCCCACCCCAGCCGCAGGCGCGGCCCCACAGATCCCCCACATCCCCGCTGGACAAGGCATCGCAGGGCATGCCGGCGCCTGGCATCTGGGACACGCGTGAGGGTATCCATGGGGGGACCCACGAGGGGGACGGTGCCCCTCAGGACAGGTGGGTGTTGCAGAGCCTTCAGAAGGCGCTGCAGAAATTGGTCGTTTGGGATTTGTGATCTTTTCCGAGATACTGAAAGGATCATCAGAGTTTTCTGGCTGCCGTATCTCAAGGCAGAACAAAGCAGGTTGTAGCAATCTATGGGCTGGGGGATCTAGTGCGCTCCCCTCCCCGTCTGTTTTGTGCTGGCTCTGGCTCCCGCATGAGCTCGATGTTGCCCGAGGTTTGATAAAGCCAAAGCCATTTCCTCTCCGCTGGGGCAGGTGGGCAGCTGGGCGGCACGGGAAGCCGAGCTCCCCCGCAAACCAGGTCGGGAAACCTTGTCACACCAGAGGTCGGGAGTTTTCCGGGAAGAAAGAAACCGGTTGTGCCACAGGCGGAGTGGAGCTGAGCGCAGCCCTCGGCGATAAGAAAAGCCCGCGGCAGCCTTTGCCCTCTCTGTGCCCGGTGGATGGAAGGGTGAAGATCCACGTCACCGCCAGCCACTTTCCATCCGGGAGTTGTGAGAGACCCCTGGCCTCCTTCCCTTCCTCGCAGGGGATGCTCTCACCCACTGCGGGGGGGCTGGGGGTGCTCCCCGAATTTTCCTGACACGGGCTATGGGAGAGTCATTGGCTCTTGAGACCCTGGCTTATGTTCCCGGGAGACGAGGCACTGCGAACCCTGCTGGTTTGGGGCAGCGCTGGGATCTCTGACGCCACATTCAGCCTGCCTGACAGTTCACTCCATACATCCCTGGAGCTCATCTTCCAGCCCTGGGATGGGAGTTCTGGTCTTGGAGGGATTTAGGCTCTGCCAGTGAGGGCTTTGCAGCCAGACCTGGCACTGCTGAGGGATCCACACTTCCACGTGTGAGAGGCAGAGCTGTAGCCTGGCAAGGCCAGGCTCTCCAGAGCAGCAGGTTTGGCTTGTTTGCTTGTAAACCCCATGGACAAAATGCAAATGCAGTCCTTGCTGAAGAGCAGATCTGTTGTTCTCTGAAATGCATAATGGGACTGGATAGGCAGGATTTAACTGCACTTTCATCTTGCCTTGGTGATGGGAAAACAGCCAATGCCAGTGTCCAACGTGGTTGGGGGACACCAGCAGCCCTCCCATGACACAGCCTTCTTCCCTGGGGTCCCCCCAACAACAATCCCCTGCCTGGGTCAGAGGTGGGAGCAGACCAAAGCTGTTGCTGGAGCATCCCAAGGAAGAGCAGGAGAAGCAATGCACATCTTGTCACCTTTTTCCTGGCCTGGAGCACCTCACTGGGCAGGTCCAGGATGATCCCCAATGAGGATAAGCCAGAGGTATCCTCAGCCAGGTCTCATCCTTCACCTGCCACAAAGGGTCCTCTTTGGGATGAATTTTGCCTTGCCAAAGAGGAAGGACCTTGTATGTGGAGGTGGGGCAGCCCCAGGGTGCACAAAGGTGTGGCTTTGAGCATCCCCCCACTCCAAGCTGGGAAAGGAATTTCTGGTGCCTGGGAAGGAACATTCTGTGATGGGACCATGAGTGTCACCTCCTCCTATGAGCCTGCGGTTCCCATCAGCTCCCAGTGACCTGGAACAAAGGCTGGAGAGGTGTTTCCAGACTAAAGGAGGTAGCTCTGGAGCTGGAGGGACATGTGGGCAGGGTGTCCACCAGCACTGCTTTTGGAGTAGGATGCCATACATGGAGAAGGATAATGGGAATAGCTGATCACAGCCATGCCTTGCCCTAACCAGCCACAACTAGAAGAGCCCAGGGACAAACTCTGGGGTCTGGGGACAAACTGCAAGAGCCAGTAATCTCATCCAGCCACATATTTATTTTCCTTGCTATTCCTAAAAGAGCAGCTCAAATTTTCTGCTCCAGCTCCCCACCATAATCAGAGATGGGACAGTTTCTGTATCAAGAACAAGGTATAAAGGGATGCAGAAATGGCCTCTGGGAGAGGGAAGAGCTGTGACATGGCCTGGCTGCAGTCTCTGTCTGGCATTTAACTCCTTTCCAGCCCTTGGGTCTCACTGTCCCACTGTGGTCATCCCAGGGCCCTTGGAGATGCTGGATGGGGCTCTTTCCCCTCCTATTCCTGGTTGTTCAGGGTGTGACTGCTGATGCTTCCCAGCTGCCCTCCCCAACCAGCCCAACAAGAACTGGGGTGTAATCTCCAGGAACTGCTTTGCTTTGGTTTAGGGAAAACCCTCGAGTAGCTCATTTGCAATCAGCAGTTCCCAGGACACCTGGCAGGGTTGGGATTCATCTGACTGGAGCTTTGGGAGGTGCTCAAACAAGATCTGGGCTGGTTTGTTGCTGTTTACTTCTCCTAAGAGGATACAATTAACTGCTATAAACGCAGTCACACACCTCCCTGCAGATCTTTAATGCAGAGTCCATCTGCTCTCCACATTCCATGTGTCCACTTTGCTCTGGGCATCCTTCTGCCCTCACTGGGCTGGGGCAAAGGAAGGCTGGGGGTGTCAGGGCACCAGGACCTGGTTCCCTTCAGCCAGTTCACATGGAACTCTGCAACTCCGCCCTTGCCCTCAGACCTTTCATTGACTCTGATCAGATTTTTTTGGGATCTTTTTGGCTTCAGAAGGAAAAGATGGGGCCTCTGCTGCAGAAAACACCCCCCCACAGGTACCACAGGGGAAGCAGGGAGAGCGAAGCTCAGTCTTCTACTCTGCTGGGCAGTTCTTCTTTGAGTACCTGGTGGTGGTGTCACTGAAGAAGATGCCAGATGGACATTATGAACCCAAGATAACCTACCAATTCCCAAAGGTATTTAGTCCTGTGTTTTTGATAAGATTAGTTTTCCACATTTAGAGGAGAAAGGGATGTTGTTCCTTCCCCATCATTAAAGCTATGGAAGGAGAAAGGTGCCCCATGCTCTTGAGTCACAGTCCCAGACCCCAGGGATTTGCCTGCCCTGGGTTGGGGTTGCTGGGACCATCTGTCCCTTCCCATGATCCCAACCAAAGGCCACAAACCTCAGGAGGAAACTCCAGGGGCTCTCCCTGGCCTCCTGACCCAAAAAGGGAGACCACAGTGGGGAAGTCACATCTCAGGGAGGTGGCACAGGAAGAGATCACAGTTTGCAGAGGGTCCCTCTGCTTTGCTTCACTGTCCAAAGTCAAAATTTGGATTTTTGGGAGGTGCTTGTCCAGACATGTGTAGGCTCCTTCTGCATCATGCAGAGCCAGGGGTTGCTTTGGGACAGACCTCATTCCACTGAATCCCACCCCATTCCTGGTGACAATGGGGACCCTCCATCTCCCTGACTCTTGGCATCACTTCCATCCAGCGCGAGAACTTGCTGAAGGGCCAGAAGGAGGAGGAGGAACGTCTCCTTCAAGCCATCCCCCTCTTCTGCTTCCCCGACGGCAACAACTGGGCACCTATCACTGAGTTCACCAGGTACCTGCCCCACTGCAGGGTCTGGGCTGGGGTCCCCACTGCTGTTGGACTCCTGAGGGCTGGAAGGACCAGCCCAGCCCAGCCCAGTCCATCCCAGCTCATCCCAGCCCCTTGTTTTCTCTCCTTGCAGCGAAACCTTTTCTTTTGTCCTGACAAACGTGGATGGCAGCAGGAAGATTGGCTACTGCAGGCGGCTGCTGGTGAGCCCTCCCCACCCCACACCCACCGGGGGTGTCACCCCCTCCCCACGGAGGGACACGTCACCTCCTGCCAGGCCCAGAGTTCAGCTTGTGGGGCCTCAGGAAGCCACCAGCCCGGCCGCAGTGATGACGAGCAGCAAGAGGGTACCCAAAGAGGTTTTTAAAGCTCTGTGCTGAGGCAAAACTCAGATGTTGGATGGAGGAAACAATGAGTGTTCACAAAGCCTGTGGATGTGGCACATGGGGATACGGTTTAGGGGTGAATGTGGTGGTGCTGGACTACTGTTGGACTTGGAGATCTTGGGGGGCTTTTCCAAACTTAACAGTTCTATGATTCCCCACTGGCTTCCATGGCTTCCCCGGCTCCTTTCCCATGTCTGCAGTAGTCAGGATGGCTGCAAATCCCACTTGGGATCAGGATGGGAATGTCAGTGCAGCCATCCAGGTACCAAGGAGATAGGAGCCCTCAGCCCCATCCCCAAAAACTGCATCTGAGCAGTGGCTGTTTCTCAACTCATGGGTTTGACCAGCTCAGGGGCTCTGAGATGCAATGGTCTTCCCTGGCTGCTGCTTTAAACAGGGACATAAATCCAGGAGGACATCCCACATACCACAGCCTGGGCAACAGCTGGATCCACCACCCCTTCATCCTGGTGAACCTTCCCATTTCGGCATCCAGGCATGAGCTCAGGCTGTTGGAACTGGATGTCTGGAGGGCTGAAAAGAGCAAACAGACCCAGGATAGTCCAGTTGGAAAGGGAAAAAAAGCCAAAGAACTTATCCCAATGGCCCTGTTGTAGCTGGTGTCAGGATTAACCCCAAGGATGGTGGGGCAGGGTGTCTTGGAGAATGTGTGCCTGGGTGAGAGGAGAGTTTGCAAATATGCCAAAGGACTTTGCACCAAAATAGTTAACAGCTTAGGCACCCAAATCACCTTCTCTGGGCACCCTCTGCTTTTCCCACATCAGCTGCATCATTGGCCTTGGCCCTAGCTTTGAAAATCTCCCAGTGAGTGACTGGAAATTTGAGGGGAGCAAGTGAGGATCCCTTTGGAGAGTGTGAGGCTGGTGCAGGGGGCTGGGAGATGCTCAAATCCTTTTCCCACACTCTTCCAGCCATCTGGGCGTGGTGTCCGACTCCCTGAGGTTTTCTGCATCATCAGCTGCCTGGGCTGCTTTGGGCTCTTCTCCAAGGTAGGGACATGGTGGCTCTGGCCCAGTGGTGGCCCTGGCAACTTCTCCTTTATCTGCTGGGGATTCCCAACTCTTATCTTTCTCACCCAGATCCTGGACGAGGTGGAGAAGAGGCGCCAGATCTCCATGGCAGTGATCTACCCCTTCATGCAGGGCCTTCGGGAATCACCCTTCCCAGCTCCAGGGAAAACTGTCACCATCAAGAGCTTCATCCCCGAGTCGGGCACAGAGGTTGGTGGGGGACCCGGGGGCACCTCCTGGTTGACATCTGGGAGCATCCTCCACCCCTGCAGCACCCAGGGATGCTGACCATAGCAGGGCAGGGTGGGTCAGGCTGCCAGGGGCCTCATTGCTCGGGAATATGGGTGTTATCTCTCTCCTGATCCAGGAGGAGAGCAGTGAGGATGAGGATGGAGCCCATCCCAAGGGCATGCTGCTCCATTTTTGAAACCTCTGCAGCTCCTCCAGCCTGAAGCTGGAGCTGGCTGTACAAAAACCTCTCCATACACTGTGCTGGGACTTGCCTTGCCCTGATGCCAGAGCAGGATGTTGTGCCAGGGGCTGGATGTAGGATGCTGTGCCAGGGCCTGGGAGGGGCCTGTTGTGCCAGGGGCTGGGAGCTGCTCCTGAGCCAGTGTCTGCTCCTCTGGCAGGCTGGGGAGCACAGTGGTGCAAGGGCTGTTCTGGGCTGCAAATTTCTTGCCAAAAGAGGTGGTCAGGCACTGGCAGCGCCTGTCCAGCACCATGGTGGAATCACCATCCCTAGAAGTGTTCAAAACACATGTGAATGTGGCACTTGGGGATGGGGGTTTGTGGTGAACATGGAGTTCATGATCTTAGAGGGCTTTTCCAGCCCTGATGATTCCATGATTGCATCATTATATTCTTCTCCGTACCACTATACTCAACTCCCAGTCTTGATTCCTGCCTGGTTTAGCCCCCCAGGCAGGTGCAGGTGTGTGACAAGCCCAGTCTTTTCATGTAGAGAAAAGATCTGATCTAGGCAAGGATGAGATGATCTCATTGCGCCCACACACAGCCCAGACTCGCACAGGCATAGCTTTTTAATTTGCTTTTTCTTTCACTTGTGGTAAAGCCAAACTGGAAAAATAGGTAAGATCCACTCTGGCACTGGGAAAAATATCCTCAATGCTGAGCATTCCATGGATGTGCCAGGGGTGGCCTGAAAGCAGGATCCCTGCTCTCTAGAGCAATTTATCAGCTGGTGGTCTAAGCAATTTCTTAATCCAGGGAGCTTGTGCAAGACTTTGCAGGTTGCTCAATGCTCTGTCCCAGGGCCATGGTTGGAAGCACAGCCTGGTGTGCCAGAGGGAGGAGGAATGAGGATGTTCCTCAAAAGAGCTGCACTCTGGGGCTCTGGGAAGGGTCTGGAGCAAGGAGATCACTGAGATCAGGAAAGGAGGGGAAATAAATCCTGAGTACTGCATGGGCTGAGATGGGCATGAGGCAGGATTTGTGCTGGAAAGGGGCTATGGAGCCCAGCCAAGCCTGATGCTGCTGGCTGGGAAAATGCTGCTTTGGTGGAAAAGCACGTGGAGAAGGGGATTTTCTTCCTGAAGGATGGGGGGAAGGGCCAGGACTGTGTCCTGAGCTTCATGGTCCTGTTAATCCTTCAGTACTCGCCATGTCTGCCTGCCATGGGGATTGATGGAATTGGGAGACTTGTGGGCAAATGAAGCTGAGTAGCCAGCCCGCCTGCAAATATCTGTTAGATCCCTCACTTTTTCATCTTAGCCAGGAATTGCCAGGCTGACCTGCCAGAGAGACATTAGAGGAAGGTTTTGTGGCATTTGTAGGAGTCATGCCCTCCCCACTCCTCCCTTCCTGGCAGCTCACAGCTGACCTCTCAGACACTGAGATGGGACATGCCACGCCCTACCAGGGACTTGGGAGCACTAGAGAAAAGAGGCATTTGGGTTAAAAATCCAGTGCCCAAATAAGGAGCCCCACAGTGCCCATCACTGATGGCTTCCCTGAGCTCTCAGCGCTGCACAGGCTGAATCTCCTGGCAGTGTGAAATGGGGTTTGTCCCTTGTACATGGACACAGTACAGATGCTGCAAACGCTGGGTCATTAATTGCTTCCAAATCACCTTCTCAGGAAGCCAGGGCAGGACAGGGGGAGTGTTGCCCCTCCTAAGCTGGGGTTCCATGGCTCTTTCTTGGCAGCTCATCGAGCTCACACGGCCTGTGGATGCCCACCTGGAGCATGTGGAGTTCCAGGCTCTGCTCCAGCGTCTCAGCCCTCACCTCATCCTGCACATCTTCGCCTCTGCCATGTTGGAGCGACGGCTCATTTTCCTGGCTGAGGAGCTGAGGTGAGTCCTGATCTCTTTATTATAAAAATGCCCATAAAAAGTGCCCTTGAAGTGGCACAGGACACAGCAGAGCTTGAGGTGGGCTGTTCCCTCCTCCCCGCCATGGTATCACCACTGGCTGCCTGTCCCACAGTGTCCTGTCTCAGTGCATCCACGCCGTGGCTGCTCTCCTGTACCCCTTCAGCTGGGCTCACACCTACATCCCCGTGGTCCCCGAGTGCCTGCTGGACACTGTGTGCTGCCCCACACCCTTCATGGTCGGCATCCAGATGCGGCACCTGGAGCGGGTCCTGGAGCAGCCAATGGAGGAGGTATTTCATCCGGAGGGGAGGGCAGCTGGATGGAGCCATCAGTGAATCCATGTCCCCAGGTTTGGCTTGGCCCTGGGGCCAGAGGCTCTGATTGTGTCCTTTTCCTACCCAGGGAGGCTGGAAATTAGGGTATCCTCCATGTCCCCTCCTGCTGGCACCTGGGGTGTTACCTCCACATTCCCCTGTGAGCTGCCCTGCCCCTGTGCTCCAGGAGCTGCTGTTGGGCTCATCTGTCTCGAAGCAGAGGAAAGCTGTGTGGGGACAAGCCACCAAACCTGCAGCAAAAATTGTCCTTGTGGGAAATGCCCTGGTCCCCCTGTCCAGGTCCCTCCTGCAGAGAGGGGCTGATCCCTCTCCTGCCACCCTCATGGGCTGGTGACACACCAGTCCCATCCCCAAATGGGTGGGAGGAAGCCCACGTGCCGTGGCAGGGCTAAACCTGCTCACTCCCTGCTCTCTTTCAGGCTCTGATAGTTGATCTCTGTGAAGGGAAGATCATCCGGGCGGTAGGTCCTCCCTGTGTGGATGTGGGGCTGGGGGTGGCCTGGATAACCCCAGGAAGGGCCTTTTCTCCTTTGGTGTCAGCTACCTGGCAGCTTCCACATTTTTAAATGGCTTCAAACTGCCAGAGGGCAGGGTTAGATGGGATTTTGGGAAGGAATTCTTCCCTGTGAGGGTGGTGAAGCCCTTGCCCAGATTGCCCATGGAAGCTGTGGCTGCCCCTGGATCCCTGGAAGTGTCCAAGGCTAAGCTGGATAGAGCTTGGAGCAATGTAGTCTAGTGGAAAATGTCCCTGCCCATGGCAGGGGGTGGAATGGGATGAGCTTTAAGGTTCTTTCTAACCCAAACCTATCTGGGATTTTGTGGTTCTATGATTTTGGGGGCAGACCCATCCTCAGTGGCACCCTCCTAGGGGGAACATCCCATGTCGGGATGTCTACAGCCACTGCTTCTGGCTTTTGAGCCAGAACAGCAGGGTCCATGCACTGGATATCCCACACCCACATCTCTGCAGGACATTGTGATGATGATTGATTAATGAGCTTTGAAAGCCCCACTGATGGGCTGCACCAGCCCATAGCCCCCTGAGCTGGATTCTGTCCAGTGCTTCACAGCCCCATTGCCTTCCAGGTGGGGGATGAGGAGGAGATCCTGCCTGGAAAGCTGCAGAACGAGATGCTGATATCTCTGAACAGGCACAACAACAACAACAACGTGCACAGTAAGGATGTCTGTGATGGTAAAAGAGCCCTGATCTGCCCTCTCCACAGCTAGAGACTTCAGCCAAGGGATTTTCCTAAAGTCACCTGGTCTGGGATGTTTCTCCCCATTTGCAGGGGTAATCCCCTGGGTTTTCCTCTGTTCTTTGAAACACAAGAGCAGGAACAGATAATCCTGATGGAAAAATGGATTTTTACTAATATTTAGAACATTAAGATGCTGCCATCGGAAAGCAACACCCTGGAAAGCCAGGGTTCCCTCGGCAAAATTAGTCTGATCCTTGATTAGGGGCAGAGGAAGGCTCTAAGCAAGTAACTCCTTGGGATACACACACGGACCAGGTTAAAATCAGCCCCTCCTGTCTGTGTTCAGAGGTCTCATCCCCACCTCTCGTGCTCCGTGTCCCCTTCCAGCCTCGGAGCAGGTGAACGCCCTGGTGTCAGAAGCCTTCGTGCACTTCTTTGTGCGGCTGGTCGGGCACTACGGCTCCCACATCAAGTGGGGCAGGAGCGGCTCCGGCAGCTTCCAGGAACGAGCCTTCTGCAAGGCCATCGCCTCCAAGAGCTGCCGCAGATTGGTGAAAAAGTTCGTGAAGACAAACATGTTTTCCCTATTTATTGAGGAAGCGGAGAAGAGCAGGATCCCACAGGAAGGTAATGGTCCCATTTCTGGTCCCCTCCCCTGGCGGGTGGGCTCTGTGGAACCCTGGGCTGGTTGGTTTAGGGGCAGAGACGCCTCGTGCCTGGTGAGGGATGGGATGCAGCCCGAGCTGGGGGTGCTCAGGGCACTGAGTAGATCCTGTTTACTCTCAATGGCCTCATTTCTCCATACCTGTCAAGCAACAAAAAAAATTTTTAAAATCCTCATTTGTGACTCCCCATCCCTGGAAGTGTCTAAGCCCACTTTGGATGGGGCTTGGAGCAAACTGATCTAGTGGAAGGTGTCTCTGCCCAGGGCAGAGTTTGGAACTGGATTAGCTTTAAGGTCTGTTCCAACTCGATCCAGCATGGGATTCTGGACTCTATGATTCATTTTAGATCTTGTCACTTGCCTGGAGCTGGGGCTGGCTCACTGGGAGCTTTGTGTAGAGGCAAACAAGCGGCAGCAGCACAAACATTTGGCTTGGGCACAGCAGCAACTGCCAGAGCCTGACTCAGCTCAGCCCCTAACTCCCTGGCAGCAGAGCTGGTCCTTTCCTCTTCCCGGGGATTTGCAGGGCTGAGCCTTCTCCCAGCCTGGGACACAGACAAATGGGCAGTGCAAGTGGAGGAAACCACACAAAAACTGTATTTCTGGATGGAGACATCCTGGGCTGGGGTCTGCCACCCCACCTGGGGCACTCCTGCTGGCACTGCCTTAGGGGCTGCTTCTCTGCCCTTTTATGTGAGACCTTATAGGGCAAACGTGGGGAGAAAGAGAGGGATGACACAATCCCTGTTTTCTTATTGTATTCCCAGTCTACATCACCATTCTTGCGTTTTGCTAGGTCTATTGCTTTTTCCCTTTCTTGCTGGTGGGAAACACAAAACTGAACAGGAGTGAACACATGGGTTAAAACCTCTGGCTAACCCAGCATAATAAAGCCTATTTTGGATGAGAGGAATGGGTGGCATTGTAACCACCCCCATTTCATAGACTTATAGAATCCCAAAATTCCAAAAAATTGGGTTGGAGGGACCTTTAAAGAGCATCTCGTTCCACCTCCTGCCATGGGGCAGGGACACCTTCCACAATCCCAGGTTGCTCCAAGCCCCATCCAACCTGCCTTGGACACTTCATTTCCATATTTCCCTGCATCCTCTGTGGGTGCAGGTTTCCATAACCCAGGACGGTTTGGGACACAAACACTTCCCAGGATTCAGGCAGGGCAGCCCTGTATCCCCCATTCCAAACACCAGCACCTCACCCATGACCTTTTTTCCTCCACAGCGTATTTCCAGCAGAAAATAATAGAGTACCATGAACAGAAGAAGCACAGAAGGGACTCCTGAAGTCCAGCGTGGGAGAAGGGGAGCAGGACTGGGATTGACACATCCCTGCCAGCAGCACCATACTGGACTCTGTTCCTGCCCACCCGGGACTCCTGAGCTGCCTGTGCAGCACTGAGCAGCCTTTCTTTCTCAGGGCATCATTGCACTGGAAAACTCTTTGCACAGAACTAGCGCCAGGCTGGGATTTCTTTCCCGATCGTGGTGGCTCCAGGGACAGACTGTGACTCCCAGTGCTTGGCCCTGCACAGTTTTTGTCCCCCCAACACCTCACACAGACAGAGGGCAGCCAGGGCTGGCTGCAGGACAACAGGGGATTAGAGTAATTATTAGAAGGGAGAAAAAAAAGGGATGAGTAGGAAATAGTGTTACTTCTCATTCAAACAAACCAGGGATTTGCAAATAAGGAACATCCCATTGCACAGTTCCTGAGGTTTTGTTATTAACAACTGGTTTATATTGTTTACTAAGCCATTGTTGAACACCAGCAGGAGCAGGTGGGGGGTTGTTAGTGGTTTCCTCTCTCTCAGCTGCTGCATCACTGGTGCCACATAGAGCCAAGTTTGGCTTTCCAAGGAAACAAAAATACTCATTTCCAGCAGGTTATTTATTTGTGCTGGAGCAAACTGTGAAGGCCACATGGCTGTGGGGTGTCAAGGGGAAACAGCCGATCAACAGCTTCAGGGAGGGAGGAAGGATTTGTTCCATCCCAGAGTAGAACGTGTCACCATCCTCCTTGGGTCTGGTCTTGGTGCCAACTTCTCTTAAAACCTCGCAATTCCTCTCTGAAATGTGAGGCCAGCAGCAGATTAAAGCTAAATGACAGTTCTCCTTTCTGAATACACTCACCCAGGAAATAAATATTGCAGCAGGGAGGCTGGGCTGGGGCTGCAGATCTGACTGGTCCCATCCACAGAAACCCAGCCCAGGTACTTCTCCCAGCAAAGGCTGGAAATGAAGGCAGAGTTTCGTTCTTCTCCTCTCTGGGATGTTACAGCCAGGCTGTCACATCACTTGGTACCCACCAGGCATCAAAATATCAAAAATATCCTGGAATCATGGAATCTCAGACTGTTTTGGGATGGAAGGGATGTTCATGATCACTCGGTTCCACACCCTGCCATGAGCACACCTTCCACACTTTCCACTATCCCAGGCTGCTCCAAGCCCCATCCAGCCTGGCCTTGGACACTTCCAGGGATCCAGGGACAGCCACAGTTTCTCTGGGCAACCTGTGCCAGGGGCTGCCCACCCTCACAGGGAACAATTTCTCCCCAGTATCCCATCTAACCCTGCCCTCTGCCTCCACCCTTGTCCTGTCACTCCAGGCCCTTGTCCACAGTCTCTCTCCATCCTTCTTGCGGTTCCTTCAGGTACTGAAAACACAGTTAGGTCACCTCAAGGTTCTCTTCTCCAGACTGAACAACACCAATTCTCAGCCTCTCCTCACAACACAGCTGCGTCATCCCTCTGAGCACCTTGATGCCTCCTCCCCTGGTTCCAAATCCAGTTTAACACAACTTCTGCAGTGCTACTGGAAGCCCCAGTGGGGGATTTTGTACAAGAACTGAAATCCACCAGGCTGCCAGTTGGCTTTTACTCTCAGAGCTGGGCAACATCCACCCAAATAAGAGAGATAAAGGATATTTATGTTTGAACCCTTTGTCCAGTCAGGTACAAATTGACAGAAACATGGCTGGACATAGGGCACAAACAGCAGTGAAAATCTCCAGCCCTGCTGAAAGAAAATTGTCAATTTTTTGTTCAGCTTCCTCATGTGTTTGGAGGGGGAAGAGGAATTATTTGTTAGGAAAAAAGGGGATTTTTGGCACTGGGGGTTTCTTCTCTGGCCCCACAAGTTCCCCCTCATGAGTAGAGAGAGCACAGGGTTAACTACAGGAAATTAAAGGTTAGTGGTATTTTTGGGGGGGGGGGGGGGTTTTTTATTTTTTTTTTTTCTTATTTCAATTGCCAGCACAAAAGCGGGGGGGGGGGGGGGGGGGGATTTATCATATTTATTTTTCATACTTCAACTGACAGCAGAAAATGGTGTGGAAAATCAAGGGCACATATCATAAACAATCCCTTTGGAAACAGCCACTTGCCTATCCTTCTCCTGCTTGTTCATTATGTTGTGAGGAGATGCCAAACCTTTTGGTTGTGAAGCCAAACACCATCTCATTGAGAAATTGGGAAGTGGTCGTCGTTTTGGGAGTAGTTCTTTTGGAAACAATTACAAATCACCCAAGGGACTGGACTATGTGATTGCTTCATTCCTCCTGGAGAAAAAACTGACAGAAAGTTATTCCTCAACTGCTGAAAACAGATACACAAAAATGCATTCTTAAATCAAAAAATATATAAATTTTCAAAATGCAGTCAGTGCTTCAGCTGCTAGGCTAGGGTGAACTTCAGCTTCAGAAGGGCAGGAGCTGCCTTAGAATGATCAAGTCCCAGAATGGTTTGAGTTGGAAGAGATGTTAATGATCACCCAGTCCCACGCCCTGCCATGGCAGGGACATCTTCCACCATCCCAGTTGCTCCAAGCCCATCCAACCTGGCCTTGGACACTGCCAGGGATTGGAGGGCAGCCACAGCTTCTCTGGGCACCTGTGCCAGGGCCTGCCCAGCCTCACAGAGAGGAGTTTCATCCTAACATGCCATCTAAAAATCTCCTATTTTAGTTTAAATCCATTCCTCCTTATTATATCACTGTTTCCTTGTGTAAAAAGACACTCTCCTTTTTTTATAGGTATTTGTTGAATTCTGGCTTTAATACCCTCCCTTTAATGCCCAAAGGGTGAACAGACTGTTTGCTGGGGACACACTGGGAAGGCTCAGCTAGGGCTGCTGGGAGCAGGGACACTGGGGCTGGGTCACATTGCAGCACATCAGCATAACCCACAGTGTATTTTTAAATCCTTCTTCCTGTTCGAGATTTGCCCAACACTTGATCCAAGCCTACAACAGTAAATAAAACAGTGCCAAGAAATGTTTCCCTGAATTGGAAAGAGCTCATCTATTCTGCTAAATTGTTAACATAGTTCCCAGCAGAGCACTGGCCAACTCACACCATCCAAATAACTTGGGGCCCGGCCGGCAGGCAGCTCAGCCCCCACTGCTGATTTGGGACTCAGTCCCTGCTATGCAGCTGCTCTGGGGAAGATAATTTCATGCTCTGGCATGTGTCACCCTCTGCCAGTGGCCTCAGTGCCAGCAAACAGTCCTGGGAGGGTTCACCCTACTGGAGCCAGCACAGGGCTGACAGCCACTGCTCCAGGGCAGGAACAGCCCCTGCTCCCACCCTACTCCCAGCCCACCTGGCCATAACCTCTGAACTGCTGTAGTCCTCACCCTCTGGAAATGATTAAACTCTGCTGCAGCTCCGTTCTACACTCACAGCTAGGTCACAGCAGCACTGGAGGTACCTGGGACAAGCTGGGTAGGATGGGAAGAGGAAAACAGTGCTTTGAAACAAAGCTGATCCTTTGATGACACAGAAAGAGGCCCTGAGGTGTCCTGACCTGCCCCTTTCCTGTGTTAAACCCCCTATCAGAGCAAGAGAACTCCTTCAGCAGTTCTTACAGAGCCAACACAACACCCAGTGGAAATTTCCAGCTTCTCTTTATAAACTGAGAGGAAAACCTGCAGAGCAGAACTGTATTGTTTTAACAGGGCGTGTTCTCAGGTGCTGCTGCTGCAGAAGTTCTCCCTCCTGTCTTCTCGACACAACAGAAAGTGAAAGGGCCCCATCATGAGATCAGGCTGAGCCCACAACTCCCCTGTCCTCAATCTAAACCCCACACACACATCTAAGGTGACCCATGGCCACAAACAAGGCAGGTGGAAAGGTCGTTATTCCATTATCTGCCACCATACCCAGAGCCACAGCAGCACTTCAGAGGGCTTGGATTGCCAGCAGTGACTGTTCCCTGATAACACTGGAACTACCTCAGCAGAGAAATGGAATTATTTATTGGCTGGAGGCACCCAAACTTCAAGGGAGTGAAAAGCTCAGAAAAAAGTGTCCTATTGCATTTCCTGAACAGCAACAGGCTTTAGCTTTGCACATGGAAGTCAGGTCCTGCACAGCCCTTTAAAGGCTTTTGTTCTTCTCCAGTCTCAAGTATTAGTAACAAATTATTTGGAGTGGCCTAATCTTAAAGCCCTGAGGACAGAGCAGGAATTTCCTTGTTTAATGGGTAAGTGGGCACGGAGGTGTTTGGTCAAAGGTTGGACTTGATGAACCACCAGACTGATTCTGATTCGAGGAAACCACTCACACTCCAGGGAGGGACTTTCCAAGCAACAGTTCTGCACCCACTTTATGCTGATGAAAGGAAACACGTGATTTGTGCAGGGCATGTTCAAACCCTTCCACTCTCTTCCCTTGCAGACTTACCTGCTGCCCTTGAAGGACAGTAGCAGAGGCCACATTGTCCAGATCAACCCTCTCCCCAGCTCACTGCTGTTAAAACTCAGTGAGTTCCCTGAATTCCACTTATATCTAAAAATGCCATTCTAGAGCTGTCATCTCATGCATGGAGATGCTCCTGGCACCAAGGTACTCGGAGCAGAGCTCCAGAACACTTGGGAGCTGCCCCAGGTGTATCAGGATGCAGGAATCAATCCCCCTCTCTGGCTCCAGCCTGGCAGGGACCCTGACAGGACCCCCAGCACAGGGCCAGGTCCCCAAAGAACTCTCAGCTGCTCTTGCCATAAAACTGCTGCTCACAAGATTCAAAGTGGGAGTGCAAGGGTGGAGTGGGAAAGCCTTACAGGAGTCTCCTCCTCATCCCAAGCATGTTCCTGATTCCCCCAGTGCCCCCAGGCTGACACATGACCTCCACCTCACTTGCTGACACGGTGCCACCTCGTGGGAAGGAACCAAGACTCTTCCAAGCACAGAAGCCACAAGACTGGGCACTTCCCTGTCCAAGGCTGAGCCGAAGGACTTGGCACGTCTGCTCCACCTGCTAGCACAGCCCAGCAGGGCCAGCCTGGTCTCTCCCCACAAACACTGCAACCACTAAACCAGAGCCACCTTCCTCCATGCCCCCTCCAGTCCTGTCCCTGCCAGGACACAAGCAAGCTCAATCTCTCAGTCCACATCAACCAGACACTGAGCACTGCACAGGGAGAGGGCACAAGGGTTTCAAACCTCTCCAAGCACTGCAGGAACTGAGTTTTCTCTCCACTTCCTGAGCACATTTTCTAATCACTGGGGTATCAAAGGAAATCCATGTCAGCGCTTCCAGGAGCTGAGGGAAGTTTTGATTTATTCTTACTGAGGTGTGAGGTTTTTTGGTTTTTGTTTTTTTTTCTGACCATGAGGTGTGTTTAATTCCTTCAGAGCCATGTCATTGTCCGCAGGCACTGCCTTGGCCTGGGCTCCCAGCACAAAGGATTTCCTTCCCACCTTCAGAGATGCTCCATGGTTCGAGGGCTGGGATTTCAGACATGGGATCCCAGCATTCCAGCTCTGTCCCCAGCAGCTTCCCCACAGCCAAGGCAGATCCTGATCCAAGTCACTCCCTGCTCGGTACTTCAGCCCCTTTGCTCAGAGCTGAAGTTCCCCTCAGTGCCAGGGCCTGTGGCACCACGTGAACTTCATTAACATGCAATTAAACTCTTCATTAATCTTAGTGTCCCTCATGCAGTTCACAACAGTTAAAATTGTATGAAAATAATGACAGAAAAAGAAACCCAAACTTACTGCACTATATAGCAAGCAAAGCTCTCAGAGATCTTGGAATGACATGATCCACATAAAAGCACTGGAAAACTACTCTCTAAACCACAGGCAGGTTTGTCATTCACAAGTCTAAGCACAAAAGAGCAACACATACATCTCAAGACAACTGTTGCTCTCAGAATTCTTGTTTATTAAGAGCAGAAATGAAATTTTGCTGAAGTTTTATACATAAAAAAGTAAACAGTAAATTTTTTTTTCTTATAGTCTTTTCCACTGAAGAAAATTGAGAAATAAGTTGTCTTTTTAGATAATGTTTATTTAAAAAAATAAAATTAATTGACAAAGATACCACACTATTTTGCATGCCGGGCACCCCTTGGCTCGCAGGACCCTGTTCAGCATGAAACCGCTTTGTCAGCAATGCACGAGCAAAAACCACCCCAGCCTGGCTCCCACTTGGCAGCTGCTGCAGCCACACAACTTAGTGAGATATCTCTGGGTTTTTACCAGCTCAAGTCTTTAGTAAATAAATTCCAAGTGGACACTAAACAAGTATTTCACTAAGAGATGATGAAATATTAAAATTAAAAGCAAGTCAGATTGCAGCTGTAATTATACTACATTAGAAACTTCAGTTGGTGGGGATCCATTCACCATAGAGAGATTAATTTGTAATCAAGGTAATTACAAAGACAGAGCATTTCCCTCCTGCATGCTTTCCCAGGCTTGGAACCAACAGAGTTGACTACATGGAAAGTTGACTAGGGTGTACTTGGAATTCACTCTCTCAGGCAGGAGACTAGTTAAGGAGTGTTACTGATAACAAAGAAGAAAAGTTATACAACATTGATTATTATAAATTACTTTGTTCTTATCTGCTTTTAGCCTTAGTCTCCTACAAGTCTTCATCCATTCCTGTAGAAACCCAACTCCTTCTCCAATCCCCTGTGGCAGCTCCCATCCCTAGTGGTGGTTCGAGTGCGTGGGGCAGCCCTTGATGCGGAACACGTGGATGTGCAGGTGGGCAGCGATCTGGTTGCACACACTGACACAGTATCGGAGCAGGTCGAACAGGGACAGGATCTGCACAGGAAAAAATCATCCACAGTTACACCCACATGTTCTTTGTGTGCCACACAGGGTGGAACAGCCCACACTCCATAACCAGAGCACTGCGCTCCATTGAGCTGAATCTCCAGCTCTGGGAATAACCACGGAATCCCAGACTGGCTTGGGATGGAAGAGACCTTAGAGCCCACCCAGCTCCACCCCTGCCATGGGCAGAGACACCTTCCACTACACCAGGTTGCTCCAAGCTCTGTCCAACCTGGCCTTGGACACTTCCAGGGATGGGGCATCACTCCCTAAAGAGTTTCTGGGAATTGTGGGCTTTCTTCCACCTAAGACAAGACAGACTCTTAATTCTACAAGCAGAAAGTGGAGAAGAGTTACAGCAGCTACAGAGATACTGTGAAATGCCCCATTAACTCTGAATGGTGATAACCACACACACATCTTTTCCCATCACATCAACACAATTTTACTGAAAGGTTAACACTGTTCCTGTACATTAAACTTGTGCATTTGTTAAGCCCAGATAAGTTGAATTTAGGATGTTTATCCGGATGGGTGCTGCAGTCATGGCAGACATTCCAGAGCTTAAGCCATAGCCAGAGCAACCTGACATTGCCCATCACAGGGACCCTGCTAACGATGCAGCAACACTCATCTGCAAAATACTCTAATATAAGCTTTGAATATCTGCTACAGTGCTTTGAAATTTTAAACTATCACAGTCATCAAGTTTGGAAGTGACCTTCAAGACCACTGAGTCCCACCATCACCCCAGAGCCACCATAATCACCCTTAACCCATGTCACCAGGTGCCACATTCAGACACCTCTTGAACACTTCCAGGTATGGTGACTCCATCACTGCCCTGGGCAATTTATTCCAATGCCTGATTATTTCTTTCAGCACTTTTTTTTTTCAAATATCCAACCTCAACTTCCCTGGCCCAGCTTGAAGCTGTTTCTTCTCGTCCTTGCCCTTGTGCCCTGGCAGCAGAGCCCGACCTCCCCTGGCTGAACCCTCCTGTCAGGGAGTTGTGCAGAGCCAGAACTTTCCTCCAGGCTGAGCCCCTACAGCTCCCTCAGCTGCTCCTGGTGCTCCAGACCCTTCCCCAGCTCTACTCCCTTCCCTGGACATGCTCCAGCCCCTCAGTGTCTCTCTTGTCAGGAGGGGCCCAGAGCTGTCCCCAGCACTGGAGCTACCCCAGCAGTGCCAGCACAGGGAACCACGCCAGGCCTTCTGGACACACCACAGCTGTGACAGCCCAGGTGCTGTTGCCCATGTGGGTTCATGTCCAGCCACTGTTACCAGAACTACCAGATCCTTTTCCAGCTTTCCAGCCACTCTTCTCCCAGCCTGGAGCGTTTCATGGGGGTGTTATGACCCGAGGACAGGACCTGGCACTTGGCCTGGCTGACCCTCCCACAGCTGGCCTCAGCCATGGATCCAGCCTGCCCAGATTCCTCCAGAAGATCTACATCCCACCCAACCTGGTGTCCTCTGCAAACTGACTGGGAGAGCCTCGATCCCCTCACCCAGACCATCCCCAAAGACAGTGCCCAGGACTGTCCTAACACCAAACCAGGGACACTGTGACCCTGCTCAGCTCTGCACCAGCTTCAAACCCACCCCCCCTCCAGGGGATACAGCTGGCACAGCCAACACAATGAATTAGTGGCAAAGCTAATTAATAAAATGAGCTTGGACTCACCAGGGCAATCCAGAGGACAATATACTCATCAATAAAGCTGTTAAAATACTGGTCAAGGAACAGCAATGCTGGGCCTATGAATGCTGTGTCATACAGATACATCTCACTCTTGGTCATGTGGGCAACCTGCAGTAAAATTAAAAAAAAGAGAAGTTTAAGAAATAAACATATGCCAGCCAAAGCAAAGTGATTTCAGAACACGCAAAGCCAAAACCATACAGTTCAAGCCACATTATTGCAAAATACCAAATACTCAAGTGGCAGCAACAATATTGTTTGAACCATGGTGCTCCACAGCTAGAGAGATGCAAGGTTTGCAGAGAGGCATCTTTTATTAGAACAGAGAATGTAGCACAGGAAAAAAACAAGTTTTCCAGCTCACCTCTTCCTCCTCCCAGAAACCAAACAATGAAATGGAAGCAGACTGGTAACTTTTAAAGTTGAGCCTGGAAACAAAAACTCACAGCTGCTAGAGCTTGAAAAGTCAAGGACACTTGATGTTCCACTCTCTCCACCTCTTTTTCTCCCATTCCATAAGGATCACTACCTCTTTCTGGTTACAATTTGATAAACATTTTTGGTGTTCAAGTGTGCCCTTCTCACCTCCCTACGTGCACAGAACCCATCCCACACTCCATCCTCACTGCACAGCACAGCTGGGATGGAATTGAGCACCAAAGTGGGCCTGGTAAGAAAGAAATTCTTCTTCCACTGTGAGCTTAAACTTTTCCTCCACTATGAATTTAAACTCTTTCACTGTGATTTAAGTCCAGCGCTGACCCAGCTCACAGTAGCCCAACAGAGGCTTGCAGAACTGGGATGGCCTTTAAAGCAGGATCTGTTTAACCCTCATTCACTGACACCTCTGCCCTTGTATAAACCTGTTAATTATTTTAACCCCTATTTCCCTCCAATTCTTCAAGTTAAACCCTCAGGAAGTGCTCCAAACCTCAGCAGCTCCATCACCTCCCATCCTTCTGCCAAACCTTCCTTCCCTTTGTGTCTGAGGGGGATTCCAGCCCAACTCTTCACACGTGCACAAATACATTGCAAATGTGTGAATTAACAGCTGGGGAAGGGAGAGAAACGGCACTGAGCTGTCTGGTGCTGCCTGTGCAACCACAGCATCAACTCCACGTTTCCACTGCCCTTCCAAACAGAAGAAGACTCTGCTGCACCTTCAGGCTACTTAAAGCAAAGCATGAGTATCTCTTCAGTGCATAAACAAGTGCAAGTTACTCAGTGGAATAACCAGAGAGCTCCATAATCTACAAAAAGTTCTCCTGCAACAAGACTCAGAAAGGTTCTGGCGCACTCACCACCAGTTTATTTGTGATCTTGGCAGACACAAAGCCAAAAGTCAGGATGTAGAGGCAGGGGTGCCTCTCAAAGAGCTGCACAGCAGATTTCTTGTAGATCATTGCAGCCAAGGCGATCACTGAGCCAATATGGAGAAAAGGTGAGAGGACACTTGTTCCCTGTGGTGAGATTAAAGCATGAGGTTAATAAATGTGCACATTGCAAAGAAACCTCAAGGAGCCCCTCATGTGGTGTTAAATGAGGGGTTAAAAATAAAATCACATTAGAAACACCTTTCTGAATGCTGGTGGTAAAAGGAACAAAAAGTAGTGAAACTTGAGCACGCAGCAGCTGAGAATGTGGTGGAAACTTTCTGATGCTGGGGAAAAAAAATCAGATTTTAGGCAGCAAGAACACTGCAACAGAAGGTGCTTGTGCAGACACCTCTACTCATTCTTTTACATTGGTAATATAAATAATATAGACCTTTCAGAAGGATCAAACCCAGAATCTTCTTGAAAAATTTCTTTCTGAATGGATTTTTGCAGAGGATTTTTCTATGAACTCTTAAGTGAGGGGTGTATTTGTATAACTCTGTTTATCTCATTAATTCAAAAACAAGTATCAAAGTACAATGAGTACTTTTAATCAAAATTTTTAAAACTTTGACTCCTAAATCTACTATTCTTACACACACAATATTAACTTGTTTTTCCTAAGTCAGCAAGAAGCTGAAGGGAAAATATTCTCCATGAAGGAGGGATTATGTTAAATAGAAACTGTGGCTGAAGAGCCTCTGTGCTGAGGAGGAACTGGCAGCCCAAGGTACTCACTGCTATAGTGGATCCATTTTTGCCAACTCCACCCGTGAAGATCACACCAAAGTAATTTGTACAGGAGAATATGGTTCCTGCCACAGTACAAAGAGCTGGGAATATTTTCATCTGAATATTCAGTATTGGAATCTTAATGGAAGAGAGACAAGAAGTTAAAATATGTACAAACTCAAATTTGGGTTAATATTTCAGGTGCACTCAAACACTCCACTTTTCAACACATTTGCTCTTCTCTCTCTGCTATACAAAGATTGACATTTCTACAGAGAAAAATTTATTTTCCAAAAGCTTCCATGAAGCTTCCCAAAAAGCCAGACTTATGTTCAGTTACCAGAGAAAAGACACCAAAAGCAGAGATATCCAAGACCTTGCTCTAAATCATCCCAGGGGAGAGAATCATTACCTTTCCTGAAGCTGCAGTCAAGATCAAATTGGGCAGAAGAAGAGCCACTTGGGGATGGTCAAATAAACCCTTTCAAGTATTGGATCCAATCTTTTGTGCAAGGCAAGGCAAGCAAAGAGATCAGACAAGTCAGATCAGAGTCAGTGACCCAGGAGAGGAAGGATGAGGTTGCTAAAGAAGGGGAGAACAAGCACGGGCAGTTTCGAAAGTTTCCTTCGTTTTTTAACAGTCATGTTTCAAGCAGAACAGGAAAAACTAGAAATGAAGAATAGTCCAAAGTAAACCACAGGAAACATACTATGGGAGCAAATGTTTAGAGATAACTACCCAAAACTTTCCAACTGTATCTATTCAACTACTAAAAGCTCTTTATTCAGCAACTGAAGTCATGGCACTCAACTGAATAAATGCTTGGCTCCCCAGTGAATCCGGCCAGGAACAGAAGGCCAAAGGAGGTCAAGTTGCTTCTATTTTTCTTTAATTCCACTCTCAGAGTAGCTTTCAGCAGGTAAATCATGGAATATTATGAGTTGGAAGGGACCCATCAGGAGCATCCAGTCCAACCCCTGCTCTTCCACAGACAGCCCAACAATGCAACCCTGTGCCTGAGAGCTTTGTCCAAACCCTACTAGAGCTTGAAGATAGTTCTGGAAGATCCTAAGTTTTCTATTCCATTCAACAACTGAATCTCTTCATCTTTCCAGGGCACAATTAAGAGCCAGAGGAGCTTTAACCCTTCATGTCTTGTTCAGCCCATCCCCAAACCCCGCCCAGTTTCATGACACTCAAATATATTTCTCCCTTGCTAAGGCTACCCTGCTAAGGCAAAAAAGAAAAAAGGCATTTCCTACAAGATTGTAGAGAAAAAATAAAGACAAGTAAAGAAAAGGCTTGAATTGCCAGACTGGAACACTACTTGCAATCATCCATTAATGTCAAGAGGCTCAGGAATCCTCAAGCTCATCTAAAAGCAGGTACCTGTGCTGGCCTCTGCCTCAGAACTTCGGTATTTAAAGAACGGGGGCAGGATTGACTTTTACCAGCAAAAGGAAACAGTAGCAAACTCCATTACAGGAGTCAAAAGACATTAAGGTTGACATTTCCCCAAGACAAAGGGAATTGGCTGGGAAAAACACCCCGTGAACTCCCAGCTACCACTAGAACACTGGAGAAGGATGCTCAGGGAAGGATAAGATAAGGCCACTGTTTTAACACCCAGTTTGACCAATTTTGGGTTCTTAACACCCTCCTTTTGGCTTCCAGAGCAGCTGCATCAGTAGTGCAAAACATGTCTGAATAAAAAAAATATTGAGAAAGAACCACATACAGAAATTTGGCAGGGGAAAGCCAGAAGTGCATTAAGAAGTCAGCACCTGCTGAAATTCTCTGTGCACAAAACAGGATCAACAAAGCCAAAAGTGGGAAGCAGCAAAATCAAGCAAATATCAGATTACTTTTATTTTTTCCCTCTGACTGGAGGGAGAGAGGGAAATGTTCCTGAAAAGTGGCACTGCAGCCCCTGAATTTTAACTCAGAGGACACTGGAAGACAGCTGCAAGGCTTCCCTGTCTGGTATTCCACGTATCACTATAGTCCCTGCAATTATTCTGCCCTTCCTGGTGATTCCAGGGGCTTCATCCAAAGCCACATGCAGGCAGAACTTCCCAAACCCATGTCAGCAGTGCAGGGAAGCACCACCAGTCACATCTTTCACAGGCATATGATGCTCTCTTTTCAACCCTCTGAGACTGATCACAGATGGAACTGCCCAGAGAGCTGCAGAATCCAGGTAAACCCTGGGAAAGAAGCATTCCAGGTTGGACAGGGCTTGGAGCAACCTGGTCTAGTGGAAGGTGTCTCTGCCCATGGCAAGGGGTGGGACTGAATGAGCTTTAAGGTTCATTCCAAACCAAACCATTCCATGCTTCCAGATTTTGTTTGGGAAGAGCCCAGGCATGACAATAACCAAGTGGCAGCAGGCAACAGATGGAGTCGGGAGCGGTTGCCAGAGCCAGCGTTAAAGCAAGACTGGAATACTTTGCCAGAAAACTACTGCCAGGATTCCAGAGTACATTTCATCAGTTTTGTACAGAAGGAATAGGGATTGATGAGGAAATAGACCAGAGCAGAGCCTAGCTAAGGGCTCATGGAAGCAGCAGGGAGGGAGCATGTAAGAGTCCTGCTTCCTCCAGGAACTCCTCCTGTCACCAATCCCACAAATCCCACAGCCAGCTGGGCAACTCGGATCCTGGAGTCCTTCTCACAGGGCTGGATCCCAGCTGGAGTTTGGAGCTGTCCAGATATACTGCAGTCACATCTGCCCAAGGAACAACTTCCAGAGGGCTGAATTCCAGCTTCATATTCCCAAAGTGTTTGTGCTTTTTCATATTCCAGACCCTATGGGAGAAAACTCCAGCAATTGTAGCATTTTTCTTGCTTCAAGCAGGAAAATCAACTCCAAATATACAATCTATTAACAAGTTACCCTAAGCTTCCTTGCTTTACTTGCATGTCCCAAATGATCCAAGCTGAGCCATACTCAGCATCCCACAGGAATTACCCAGCTCGAGGAGCACGGGGAGCAGCATTTAACAGGCTTTGAAGAGAATTTACACTGTGGAAAGGAGGGAGTCAGGACGGGCACACACAGTTACACGGACTAAAAGAAAGGTAATGAAAGCTACAATTTCCAAAATTCACAACTCTGCATTTTGCCTGTTCAGAGTGTTTTGCTTTTCCCATGAAAAGTGGAATGTTTGAGTACACAACCACATCTACTCCATATTTCTCCCAAACAGAAGCAAACAGAAAATACCAAACCACCAATTTTGCAGTCACATCAAGTATTAAAGGATTAGAGAGGGCTGGGTGAGAAGGGGTTGTGTGATTTATTTTGCTCTGCAAGCAAAATAAATCACACAACATTTATCTCTAAATGAACACAAAATCACACTCATTGAATTAAACAGGATTGTCATGGGAGACCTGATTAATGCTGTTCTCTGGAGAAATGCTCTGTTACACCAACCAAAACAGTTAAATATTTTTGGGAGCTGCCTTAGCAAATGCTGCTGCAACCCAGAACTTCTGATAGATTTCAAGATTTTGCTGAAAAGAGTTATTTTAAAGGCCATTTTAGAGTTATTTAAGCTATTTAATAACAAGAGATCCATTTCTAAGCTCACATAAACATTACTGAACTGTGCCAGAGGTTGCTGTAGCAGCATTTTGTACCCCCCCCTTTTTTTTTTAAAGGAAACTGAGAACAGGAATTGAGAAATTCTCTTGATAACACAAAATATTAAATTGTAGCTGCATGGGGATGTTGGCCACACTAATATTTCTGGAAAACTTGGCACCAATAAGGTGACATGTAGCCTAATTTTTATTTTGTAATCAGACCTACCCACCCCCATTCTGTATATATGGTATTTACTTTGCAGTTTATAGAATTAATTAAAGGCTTTAGGGTTTTAAGCCTGAAAGCATAAGCAGCAAAATTAGGATAGCCACGATTAGCTCATTTGGGATCCTCTCCACATACTGTGGGTTCATTGCTTCCATTACATAGAGCACATTAGAAATTCATCCATTTGGGGTGAAGATTTTCAGGGACTTTTGACCATCTCTTGGTGTTACTGAAATCAAGATTTCTTTCTCCTTAAGAATTGGATTTACCAAATACAGAGAGAAGATCAATAACCAGGAAGGAAAACTAGGAAAACCTTTCAGGAAATCAATGCTTTGGATTTTATTTCCAGTAAACTTATATATTTTAAATTTATGTATGCACACACATGCTTTTCTGTGGACAATGCCATTTTGATAGCTCAATGTGGCTTCAGTAATACTTCCTATTGTATTCCTATTATTATAATTATCATTATTATTAAACGGTCAGCTGATACGGCCTGGTGAGCCTATATCAACATACCTACAGCATATATATAGATATATATATAGACATAGATATAAATAAGAGATCTGCAGCCAGGCTATGCCAGCAGCTCGTTTAATCAGGATCATCTTTTTTAAAAGAAAAAACCTGACAAGTGGGGGTTGTCCCCTTACACAAATCACAAGTCATCAGCCACATTCAGGCCAAATTATCTACTGATGGTTCCCAACTGGCTCTCTGAGAGTTTCCCCAAATCCTCCTCCCAGTTTAATATTCCTCCACTGTTTGTTGCATGAAATTCATTTAGGTTTTGGCCAGGATTTCACCAAAGGTTTAAGTTCATGTTTGACAGCTTTTTACCTGCACGCACAGGGTATAAAATAACCTTGCTTTAATGACTCTGGTACAGACAGAATCCACAGTTACTTCCATGGGATCGGAATTCAAAAATCTGTTTCCATTTATAAGAAAAAGTGAAATCTTCCTGCAGAAGTGAAACTGTCTCAAGATGTGCAGGAGTCCTTCAGTGACCACAGGATTATTACAAAGGATAAAATAAGAACACGAGCAAAATTACCAGAGATTGCCAAAAAGGTGGTCCTCCAATCACTGCCAGTAAATGCATGATTATTATGAAGATTTGTACTTCAGTCACATCAATTCTGATTAGGTATAAAAAGCCAAAAAAAAAAAGCAAAATTATTCAAAGCAATTTCAAGTCAGTTATTCGCAAGCTCAGCGGCACAACTCTGTCATGCACAGTATAAAGGCTGAGGAAAAGAGGAAAAACTTGCAAATAATTTAGAAGGCAAAAATGTACTTAGTTTT